GGGAGTTGAAGTCCACTCATCTTAAAGTGGCCAAGTTTGGACAACACTGTTCTAAAGGAAATCAACCAGATATATTCCAAGGCTGAACAGGAAGCTTATATAGCCTTTCTCGTAGAGCAGAGGTGTGCAACCTGAAGCCCAAATTACACGTGGCTCCTAAAAATTATTTTTGCAATCACTGGAGCCATCTCTGACTATAGCTGACAAATATTTATTTAATTTATTTATACATCACATTTATATTGGTGACAGTTTCCTGTTGTTAGCCAAAAAAAGCTAGTGTAAACCAAATTTCCCAGTCTTGACAACTTGTAGACGTGTGGTCTTCCAATCCCAGAATTCCCCAACCAATGCAGCCTTTGCAGAGAATTCTGGGAGTTGTCATCTGAGGTTGCCTAGATATGCTTAACAGTAGAAAACCAAGGAACAGCCTTCAAAAACAATTAGAGAAAGAAATTAAAACCCTGCCTCTAACCCAATGTTTCTCAACCTTAGCAATTCTAAGATAAGTGGACTTCAAATCCCAGAATTCCCCAAGTCTACTCATCTTAAAGTTGTCAAGGTTGAGAAACGCTGCTCTAACCATTTGGCCACATAACATAGCCCATCAAAATCCTCAGCTACCCATAATTTTTCCCAGTTCTATATCATTGGATAGATGGATAGATGGATAGATGACAGATGATAGAACAATTTTCTGTACTGTACTGTTATATCTTTTTAAAAGAATGTAAAAATAGATGACACAAATAGAAGAACTGGATACAGGCAGTGAAATATGGGCAGATAAACAACAAATCTGAAATATCATAAAACAAATATAATCCAATGCATCAATAGAAGCTTATGCCATATTTCTTACCCATTTTCTAATCAAAACCCACATGCTCTGTGGAACTTTAAGCTAGAAGTTCTTGGTTAACACAGTTAAAGTTGCTAAAAAAGATCATAGATAATAAACAATAAACTGAAGCAACACTGTAAATTATACATCAAATGAAGGCATGAACTCTAAAACCCACATCTCAGATGTGGCACAATTTGATGTATACAACTCTAGTCCAAGAATGGTTTCCAATCAGAATTAAATTCTATGTTGGATTTGTTTTTTTAAATACAAAGTTATTCTAGACTTTGAGGCATACTTCCACCATTTAGTTTGTCATTCTTCCAAAGAGGAAATCAGAGATTTTTTCCCCCAAAAAATCCTTAAGAATATTTCAGGATACAATGGAATTACAACTTTCAAATGTGCTCTGTTCTATAATAAATTATTTTCCAGTATTGTTCAGCGTTACCACTTTGCCAACTGCATAGGACAAAAAGATCCAACCCGCTCACTATGTTTTCAACATCTTTTGAAGGAATGTTAGTCATTTTAGCCATCAAGACAGGAGGCCATCCATAAAATGTTAAGGGCCGCTCTCAGCCATCAAAAAGTTGCCAGTAAAACAACTTGGGAGGGAAAAATGTTTCCTTGAAAAATATTCTAACTCAGGAGAAGGAAGAACACAGATGAAAATCTACGATAGAGTTCCAGCATTTAAGCACAGACTGGCATGAATTCTTGATGCTCGACAGGTTAACTGTAGCAATAATGGAATGATCCTTTCACTCATCTAAATTAAGTTGCTGAACTGAAAAGAGATAGGGCTCACCAGGAGCAGACTTTTGCTGAATGGATGGGAACTGAGTTTGGTTCCTGAAAATATATTACAGATAGTCCTCTCTTAACAACCACAATAAGGACTGGAAAATTAGTCGCTAAGCGAGGTGGTCATTAAGTGAGTCACCACATGACCAAACCTGATCTTACAAGCATTTTTACAACAGTTGTTAAGCGAATCCAGCTTCCCCAATGGACGTTTTTGCCAGAAGTTGCTTAACAACATGATTCACTTAATGACCATGTGATTCGCTTAACAACTGCAGTGATTCGTTTTATGACTGTCATAAAAAAGCTCTCAAATAGTGATCATGAGACCATGGGGGTGCAATGGTTTGCGATGGTTGTAAGTGTGAGTATAGGTTGTAAAGCACTTTTCTGAAGCTGTCATAACTTTGAACTGTCGTTAAGCGAACAGTCGTTAAGTGAGAACTACCTCTACTTAAGCTTCGGCCATACCCAGAGGAGGAAGGAAAGACAAAGTTGGTTTAAATGACTGCTTAGTGCAATTTTGATTTTGGTCATCTGATTTTTGCACTGTTATTATTTTAAGTGATTTCTTTGGATTTTTTTTCTAGCAGCAAGGTACAGGTATATTTTAACCAAAATAAAAGGAAATGGCAAAGTGGTAAATCACCACACTGTTCAGATAATCATATGGAAAGCAGGTTGCCTGTTCCCCTGCTGGGGGTGGTAGATGTCTCCTTGTTGGATAATAATTATTTCACAGAGTTGCAGCATGCCCTTCTTAAAAAGGGCATGAACGCTGGGGCAATGATCTTTCGTACTCAGGCAATGTCAAAGTATTGGGCTGTACTTAATGTTAGTTTGATCTGCTCCTTTGCTATTTGTGCCTTAAGTCACAGAGTAGAAGTAGGAGCAGGGAAAGGGGAACATATACATTACAAGCGCTTTCTGAAACTAAGCGCTTTGCCGATTGTTTTTCGTTGCTGTGCTGAAAAAGGCAGCCAAGTATAATTCAGCAAACTGTCGGAACTCCCCAGAGAAAAGATCAGAGAAAAATTCCCAGCAACTTTTTCCCACTGACATCCACGCATGCATATATGGAGGGAGAGAGCTGCAAAACCAGTAATAAAATGAAATCAGTAGCTGTTTTCCACTGCAGGGCAACTGGAAGGAGTCATCTGTTACCCTCCAAAGAGGACTAAGAAGAAAACGTAAAAGACAACAACTGAACCCAAAACAGATGGACTAAGTAAAGCCTCATCAAAGAGCCCTTCCTTTTAATACATGAGAACAGAACTATACATTTCCCCCCCTGTTCTTTTAGTTCAGTGCACAAGTGCCAAACTGGCATCCAGCCTCTGGTTTTGCATCCCGAAGGTTAATGCAAATTGCCAGCAGGAGTGGCCGACCGAGTCCTCGCTCTCATTTTCTAAGTGCTTCGGATTCTCGACTTTATGGTTTCAAAGGCAGGGAACGTTTCATAAAAGGGAAGCTTCCCAAATGAAAAGTGATTCCTGGAAGAGCTTGGCCAGCTTTGCTAGACAGCTGTCCTAAAGAAGCTAGCTCTGTGTGGGTCGAAACTTCCCAATCAGCCCATCCTTAATTGCCTCTATACCTGATTACAGTCTTTGAGGGGACTGATTAGGGTACAACGTGTAAAACCAATGGGAAGCCAGAGAAATATTCAGCACAGAATTGCAGAAGCCACAGGTACATGTAGGTCACCAGCTCTTTTACTTGGAACTTCACATTGCCAAAAGCAGAATTCGAGAGCCAGTTTGGTGCAGTGGTGAAGGCATCAGGCTGGAAACCGGGAGACTGTGAGATCTAGTCCCACCTTAGGCACAAAGCCAGCTGGGTGACCTTGGGCCAGTCCCTCTCTCTCTCAGCCCTAGGAATCTATGACTTTAGAGAAAAAAAGAACCCAGCAAAAACAGGCAGAAATCTACCCTTTCCCCTTGCACACTATCACAACGTTGCAAACAGCATTAAGACGAAATGCTTGCTGCTATTTCAGGGAATGTGGCTCTCCTTTCCGTAACACCCTTCCACCTGTGATTTTCACGGCAAGCGCAACCATTTTAACAGGCTTGCGGCTGAAGCTGTTGAGTTTTATTTTTTGTAATGCAAGGTTATCAGGAACTGGAAAATTAAGGCTGCGTTCCTAATGCCTCCATGGGTGGTAAAACCCTCTGGATACAATGGAACTGGATTAGTACTTTCAGTAGTTAAGCACTTAGAAAATGAGAGAAAATGGTGAGTGAACTCATCAGAATGGACAAGCATGGAATAGGATCACGCTTGCTATTAAAATGAGCAAATCTGAACTTGAGCTGAGTTGGGCTTTCACTGTTTTCTGTCTCCCCTCCCTCTCTCACTGTGTCCAGGTCTGAACCCTGCTTCTGTACCTTCCCCCTCTCCCCTCCTACTCTCTTAGCCCTTGCCAAAAACCATTTGAAATTCCTGGAATGCCAGAAGCCACAAACGAAAATGAGTGATGTCTGTTCAAGCTTTTGCAAGCTTTTGCAAATTCAAGCCAAAAGAATTTGGGTTACCCCAGCAAAAGGCCACGGTGAGTCCACTGCTCAAATGTAGGAATCAGACCAAATCTAATCTTTTAGCAAGGCTGATAAAATGGCTGGTGCCAAACAAAATGATGAACAGTGGGATCTCTCACACCTACGCACCCACACTCTGTTTTTCTCGTGGCTGGTTTTTAATAGCACTAGATAGCTTCAAAATAATTCTGAAAATGCTAGCAGCCGACCTGATCCGTGCTTTCAAAGATTTCCTTCCTTTGATGGAAGCCAATTTAGTACTAGACAACTTGTTTCGCCTAAGAGAACTTGGAAGGTATAGGTGAGATAGGCTGGTGCTCTTAACCACTTCATAAGTGTCCGGCCAGATGCGGCGGGTCACAGGATCTTCAGAGCTGAGTATTAGGCTAAGAATTTAATAAGCAAGCACAGGGAGGTTTGCTTTATCTTTTCTTGCAATTTCATTCATTGTTATTCAACTTCTCCTTTACCTCATTTTTGTGTTCAGAGTTGGGTCATGTTCAGATTACCTAACACAGTTATTTCTCTCGGTCTTACCTGTGCACTGGAGAGGTCCCGGGAAAAACCCTTCACCGCATGATGTCACGCACTGGGCATCCTTCAAATGCAGCGAACCTTGGCACGAACTACATCCAAATTTACTAGTACAAGTAGAGCACATCTCTTTACAAGCTGCCCAAGGCAGGGAGAAAAAAAAAAGGAGTATATTGAAAAAAATTAAATTGGATTTGATTTCCTCTGAGCCAGATCTTTGGGATCCATGATACAGCTTTTCAGCTGCTGATCAGGGATCTCAAACATCCCCCAAGTATTAGCAACAGTGAAGAAAGATAATACATTCCTGACAACCCAAGTATACATTGAAGATAGATACAGTACACTGGTCTATGACTGCAATAAAGATTGATTTGATTTAACTGAAGTTAGATTATCAGTTATTGTTGCTATTCTATCAGGCTTTTATACGGGTTAATCTTGCTGATTATGGTGTTTATCTTAAGTGTTTTATTCTGGGCTTTACAGATTCTCTCTATATAATTTATTGTTCTGGACTGTTCTGGAGAACCCTGTCAGGGCAGAAGCAGAGTAATAAAATGGTATTTTAGAAAGACACAAATTTTCAGAACAGTTTTATCTACTTTCACGCTCAGAGGCAACAGGCATCTCCTGAAATCTCTCGGCACCACCTATAGAGCAAGAAGCTTCAACATCCCACAGCAAGCTGGAGGTTAATCTCACCTAAGCAAAGGCCAGCATCTGGATAGAAGCCAGGCCCACAGCTGTCAACACAGCGCCCGTTCTGTAGAAACTTGGTGGACTCTCGGCAGACATCACAATGATCAAAAGCCTGGGTGCAGGTCGAGCAATCAGAATGGCACTGACCTATCACAAACATGAGACAACTTTAATTGGGGTGCGGAAGTGCAGGATGGGCTTGCCTGCTCACGTACAAGGAAGCTCCTGCTGCATGGCAAGAAAACAAGCACGCTTCTTCTGCACCAGGTCAGAACCCCTTTGGAATTCCTCATGCTGATTTTCAATCAGCAGATTCAATGACAAGATTTGTTTAAGGATTTAATTTGCTCACATTTCAGGTGGTCCTCATTTAACGGCCACTTGTTCAGCAATTGTTCAAACTTATGACAGCACTGAACAAGTGGTAGGTGCGACCGGTCCTCCTACTTACGGCCGTTGCAGCATTCCCACAGTCACGTGATCGCCATTTGCGACTTTTCCTGCCAGCTTCTGACAAGCAAAGTCAAAGGGGAAGCCAGCAGGAAGCCACAAGTCACGGTCATGTGAGGTCTCACTTAACAATGGCAACTGGGACTGCCATTGCTAGGTGCAGTCACATAGTTTTTCGCCTTACAACCACGTCATTTAACGATGGAGTTTCCTCTCCCAATTAGCGTTGTTAAGCAAGGACTACCTGTACTCTCACAATGCACAGGTATATGCGGAGATTCTTGAGCATACCATCACTCAGAAGGGGCTGAGCACAAGCAGTTCATGTCCTAAGGAGGCCTTCCTGCTGGCAGAGTACCATGAAATCTAAACATGAGCTGAGGAGTTCCCAAATCAAGGTTACCTCTGCTAGAACACACCTGTAGCAGGCCCACCCATCTGATCTTCAGTTTCCAGGTGCAATCAACTGACTCACCACCTGGTAGAGTTACTGCAAGGCTTATTTATAGACACAATAAAGTAAAAGAGGTGAATTAAGACTCCTTCAAGTCAAGCTTGAGCTCTGGGATCCCCATGGACACGTCTCTTTAATTTTCTTGGCATTCATATGGAGGCAGTTTGCCTTTGTCTCTTCTGGGATCATTTTGCCTTCCCAATGTAGCCTACAGCCCCAGGGTTTCCCACTGGTCTCCCATCCAAGTCCTAACAAATCTGAACCTGCTTATCTTTTTTCAAGATCAGCCAAGGTTGTCTGGATGCTGCCACTTGCTTAAGTAAAACAATGTTTCAAGCTGCAATTATGCTGATGCTGCTTTATTATTTATTTGATTTTTATTCCTTTATTTTTGGTCGGCTCAAGGCAGCCTGTTGCTCCTGCCTTTTCTTTTCCCCACAACAACAACCCTGTGAGGTGGGCTGGGCTGAGAGAGAGAGCGCCTGGCCCAAAGTCCCCCAGCCGGCTTTCATGCCTAAGGGAGGACTAGAACTCACAGTCCCCTGGTTTCTAGCCCTGCACCTTAGCCACTACACCAAACTGGCTGGTTCTGTGCTTTGCAAGATGGGAGGGTGAGGGGCCAGGCCTTGACCATTCCATCGCCTCATGGGCCGCATCCCCCTTAAGACACCCGCTGACTGGCCTCTACTAGGCTCCGTAAATGGATCATACTTCTAATATGATGTTGGGCAGTGAGGAAGAGGAGACACTCATGGCCAAGCAAAGGCAGATTTTAAAAAAGAAGGAAGGCAGCATGGCATGGTGGCACAGCAGCCAGGAGAAGGGCTTTTCCTTCCCACCATGTCTCCTTCCCATCAGACCTGACAGGACACCATTCTCAAGTTCACAGATCTAAGCCAGTAAGAAAATCTAAGCACCTCCCATCCCCACAGACGCATTGGAGGTGTTCTGGGGGGCAAGGAAGTGATGCCATGCGCATCGTGATGTCACCACCCAAATCACTTGCATCATCATGGCTTGTCCCAGACATCTGTGAGGCTACTTTCTTCCTCCCAAGTACATCAGAAGGCCTTCCCTATCAGCAGCTCCTCCCACCCAAATAAAATTTCAGTCTGTAGATATGAGCAAGCAGAAGCTGGGATGGATAATATTTAGGAAGTGTGCCTAATCAAATGCTTCTAAACATAAAGACCCAGTTCCAAAGTATCAGAATAAGCAAGTGAGACATCTGAAAAGAAAACCACAGCTGCGTGGCTTTGCAAATACCTGGCTTGCACTGAGGGCAACACTCTCCTTGCACAGCAACAGCCACACTTCCCGGGGGACAAGTTGGACAAGACCATGAGTAGCAGCTTACTTTAGAGTCCAGACATTCACATTCACGGCACAGGCCTTCCTTCCATTTTTCACCACTCTGCATGAGAAAACAATAAAGGCTGGGCTAGATCATAACTTTCCAATCCTATGCATTTATGAACGTTTATTCACTTTCTTCCGAGCAGCGAAAAGCAGCATATATGTTCCTTTTTTGCTTTTTTTTTTTTAATCTTCACGACCACCCTGCAAAGTAGATCATGTTGGCCCAACTTCATGGCTGATTTTGGATCTGAACTTACATTTCACCAACCTAAATCAGAAACTCTGTATGCTTTTGCTTTATGGGTCCATGTATGTCTATGCACACATAGGCACATCTAGGCATGCTTCATTCTTTACCATGAAGTTTTGCTGATACGCTATTTAAATAACTTTTTTAAACAAAAAACCCAAGTCGTGAACCCAGCACGCTGTATTTACTCTCTGTTTAGAGTTCCCTTTCAACAGCTTAACTGCAAAGAGTAAAGAGATCCACAGCATCCACTTGCAGAGCCAAGAGGCCAGTGGTACTTCCGAAAGCCGTTCAAAGAGCAATGATGGTGCTTTTGATTGGGGAAGTGTGGTGCAGCCTCATACATATCTCCATAGAAGTTCCACTAAGCTAAGTGGGGCCTAAGTCAAGATAAGTAACTGCGATCTCAGGCTGGTGCCGCCTCACAAACAGAAAACTCCCAACCCTTTTTTCAGGAAGAACAGTAAATCATGGGAACACAAAAGTTTTGCAGTCCAACCAGCTACAGTCTATCTCAGCATAACTCTATCAAGGCTGGGAAACAGAGTTCTCCAGTTCTATCCCAAAGAGAGGAAATTACGCTCCACATACAAGTAGTGTGATTTAATTGAAGTATTTCTACTACAATGGGTTCACGCTTTCCTCCAAAAACCATCTTTCCCAACTGTTGAGCTACCTTTTTGCTGAACGTGTAAGAGGAAGCGAAACAGGGCCGAAGAGGCACCCCTACCTGTGGAGTCCTTGGGATTCTCTGAGTTT